CTAAAGTTCCTTTTCGAACTATATCATTGCTGATTTAATTCATAAATGCTGAGGCATGGAACACCAGGTCTTACTCAGATCTTAGTATAACTCTGTGCTTCTTGAATAACCTTAACCCACCTCTCATACTGTCTCCTTCTAGTAACTGCTATTTTACACTCAGCTACAATGAGGTTGATTTTAGGTTCTACATCTAAGTAATGTTATGTTTGTCTCTTTCACTGCACACAGAATCTTCCAGGTATACCTATGTTATCACAATGTCATAATTTCATATGACACCTGAGGGGTGTGTGTGTGTGTGTGTATGCACGCGCGCGCGCATGCACACACATACATATGTGCACACACATGCACACACACACACATATGTATACATACATATATGAGAGAAAGAGAATATATAGGGTTCTGTTCTCTCCAAGGTTTACGGCATCTACTGAGGGTCACAGGATGCTCAGTGGTTGGAAGAAGGGCTACTATAACTCAAAAAGGGATTGTAAGGGGTGGGCAAGAGACTGACAATGGGTATGGAATATATGAGACCCACTGTCATATATATTACACGTGTAATAAAAATATTGATATTCCATTATATAACTCAAACATGAATAGCTTCGGTAGTCAAGAGTATTCTATTAAATCACAGATACAATCTTTTGAGTACTATACTAAGAGAATGATAGCAATTGCTAGAGGAGAGGACAGTGGTAGAATAAAACAGATCCTTCTCGGTGGCATACCAAAAATTAACTCCTAATAGCAGAAAGTCCTAGCACATGAGAACATGGTACTACTAACATACACGCCCAAGGGGGAAATAAATGTCAAAACAAATTACCAAAAAAAGTTGCTGAGTAACATTTGAAAGTGCAGGTATTTTTTTTTTTTAACCTGACTGGGCATTCCAGTATGTACACATGCGTGGAAAGATCGCATTATCATTAAATTCATTTGCTACGCCTCCTCCATGTGTCAGTTTAAAAATAGGCTACAGTTGTAACTCAGTGAATGAGCATGTGATCAACACATGCAAAGCTCCGAGTTCAAGAAAAAAAATCCAGTCAATTGTTCAGTGCAAGAAAGTTCAGTGTGGAGAGTTACTTAAAGACATGGACACATGAAAAAGTTGGAGGCATGCAAATGAAATGTACTGTAGAGGAAGAGAAGACGCCAAGCATTTCTGCCTGTGTATTTGCTTGTTTAGAAAAACTTTCTGACTCAAATAAGGTGCTCTCAGAGCAGTAAAAGGAACTGGTCTCTCAAAGTTCAAGGTAGACAGATGACTTCTTCAACCTTAAGTCTGCCAAGGAAAGAAAATGACTAGGACTACCTGCCAGCAATGGGGTCCAAGGTCATCTGCAATAAAAGTGTTCTGAAGGGATAGAAGACTGAGGGTTACTGAGCACCAATTAAGAGTCAGCTCTACAGATGCTACAAAGCTGATCTTGGCCTTGACCTTACACTAGCATGTGGGAAATGCAGGTGCTGAGGTCTAAGAAGGTTTGAGTAGCATTTGGAAAGAAAGGAGTCTAATTTAGCCTGTCTGGCTCCCATAACCTTCTGTATTTTTCTACAGCCGGACCGACTGAATTAGTCAGTTTACTTTACCAGAAACTAAAAGTAATCCCCCCCTTCAGACTGCAAATAAAGTGTTTTGTTTTCCTGTCACAGCCTTTACAGGTAATATGCAATTTGCAAAACACACAGGCATTTCCCCAGTATAAAAAAGATTATTAAGATCAAGGATTTTGATCCAACTTTCAGTTCAACCAAGCAGTTGCTAGTTGACATTTTTGTCAGAAAAATAAACTCGCCAGATTCCCACAGTCGCCTTCCACTGCAATACAAGGACGTCTGTGATAACCACATTCCTGCATCAGGGTGGAGAACTGCCCTACTAAAACAGCCAGGTGACTGGACACTGGCTGAACAACCACTCACAGACAAAGGCCCAAACGTCATGAATTCTAAACTCCCAAGAAGTCACAGGCTGGCCAACCTGGTCTGACCCAAGCCTCGCTTGATCTGGCCTTCCGGTGGTATCTGTCCACTGGCTTTTTACATTCCCCTTTTTCCCCTGTTTTAACTGGAAGTTTAATTTCACTGTCAGCTTCTGCCCACCAGTCCTGGGGCATTTTCTTCCTACTCTGTCCCATTCTGCAGTATTTCCTCCTATCACCCACTTTAGAGCATTTTCCCCTCCTGGCAGCCAATAAAGTTACCAAGGGATCACTGCCCTGCTAATGTATATCCACTGCTTTCAAAGCCATCTGCGCAGTTTCATGCACTAAACCCAGCACTGAATCCCTGTCGATTTAAAACATTCCTGTCCCAGAAAAATCAGAAGAAAATGATGTTTGACACCAGGGACTTCAGGGGATCAATCAATGACATATACTACGCATGTATGTCGTGGTAGGTAATCACTGACGAGGAAACGACGTGGTGAGCCAAACATAACACAGATGGATTTTGCTAAGGAGGTGATGTGGAATTAAGAAATTACAGTATATGAACCCTGGAGAAGGAAATTAAGTGATCGAGGTCAATATAGGAGAAATCCTGTTGTAATATTAAATGTGAATGAGACACAGAGAGGGTTGTGGTCATGACCTTTTTTCCAAGAGGACATTTTGGGTAGAAAAGAGCTAATATAGATCCCCCCCCCCAAAGAACAGTCTTACCTTTTAGTATTTCTATCTTCGGTTATATTCCTACCTAGATATTTTACTTTTCATTCTGGTTTTGTCTATCTGAGATACGATGAGATAGAGTACAAAGGTTATATGACATATGAGCCAACCATCTCTGTAGTTTATGCTTTTAAGGGTCTAGAAGGAAACCTACCCCCCCCCCGTGTGAATTTGAAGTAAACTTTGTTGGAACACAGCCTCGTGTACTGCATTGCGTCTTCATGATGTCTGTGTTCCTGCCCTAGCAACGGAGTTCATCAGTTGCAATAGAAAGTGTATAGCAACAGGGCTTAAGATAGTTACCATTTAGCCCAGTAATGGGAAGTTTGCTGGTGCCTTTACAGAATTCAGAATGTCATGTCAGTTGGTACACTATGAACCAGAGTCAATGGGTCATGAGTCAAAGCTCAGCAAGTTCTGTATAGTAAATGAGGTATGTCACCTTATAAGATCAGCATCATGGACAACCTCAAAGAGCCCACAACGTCCAAACAGGAAAGGGCGAGTTTCAGGTTCTACTTAGACCCTAATACAAGTTTTCTCCCTGTTACAGATACCTCTTTCAAGTCACAGAATTATTATCAAGTACAAGAGTTTTTAAAGTACTGCATGAAAAAAAATTACTTTCTTATCTTCATTCACACCAAGTGAAAATGATTCCCAAAATGGAAGAGTATAAGTCTAAAATAATCATATCATCTCCCCGTAGGCAGGGTCTGATGGAACAGTAAAAAAAAAGAATCAATGTTCTGATAAAAAGGGGAAATGTTCTAATTATCCCAGAGGTGATTTAAAAAAAAAAAAAAAAAACCAAACAAAAACTGGTCAGGCTTTCTCAGTGTGCTCAGAGCACAACCATATCAAGTCTATATAGTGCCACAGGCTACTGTGGTTCACCCAAGAAACCTTAGATAGAGAGAATCCTCCAACTCTTCCTGTGGTAATCTGCAATCACACCTACACCTGCCTAATCATTTATATTTTACACACGAAGCACTGCAAAACTATTCTAGCTCATTTTTTCTCTCTGCTGCTTTATTATATTTATTATATTATATTTATATACATGAATATTGGCCCTTGATTTTGATATTTACATACGCATTTATCCATAATGCTGAAGAAGACCCATAAGGAAAGAAAAAATACACACGGGAAACTAGTTTGTCATCACAATGTCAAAAGAAAGGAGTAACATAAATAACAGTGAGACCATATACTACTGAATTCTCTTCAAAGTCTGCTTCCTAAAGGACACGTGCCTCGTGCCTAGCATCTGGCCGACACTCAACTTATGTTCGGCTTTACTTTTTGAGAAATATGATGTCTATTCTTACTGTGAGTCAGATTTTCTTCTAGTAGATATTTGTTCTTAAACTTATTTTGGTTTAAACCAAGGCTTTTCAGAGAAGTCATAGGGGGAACAGTAGACAAAAATAGCACATCATCAGAACTCATGTTAGCAGCTTGCATGTGAGAAATCTGACCCCAAACTAACGTAACAATTCTTAAAGAACAGTACGAATAAATATCTTTAAACTAAAAACGTTGGAAATTTGAATTAAAAAGGCCAGGTCATGTATCCCCTAAGATTTCTCCATACTATAAAATGTGGAAGGGAAATTTATTTTTAAATATCTGAAGTAAAATCTGTTCTAAAATTGTATTTAACATTCTGACTTTCTGAGCAACATATAAAAACTAAAGCAGTATAATCACAATATGAAAATGTCATAGCAAAGCTATATTAGCAATATGTGTTCAAATATAAAATATACATTAAAATACTTTAAATAAAATAGAAATCCTTGACTTATCATTTATCACATTTTTTTAAAAAAAAAATCAGGATATAGATAAATAATAGTAGGCCTAAATTTTAAACAATAATGTTCTTCTCCCTAACTACAATAAGCACTGTTTTCTCAAACAAAACACTGCTATGATATGGGGAAAATCCAAACAGTGTGGGCCGAGCAATGATAACTCTGTCTGTATTGTTTTGTTTTGCTATGAAGCAAGACACAGGAAAGTACATTTTATTATCGAGTTAAAAAATAAAACTTAAGAAACTGCTTTGAACTTGTAACTTGAAGTTCTGTTATTCCAAACCTTACTGCAGCCCTTCACTTCATATATCTTACAGGCCTAGGACACAGCATTTGCAATCATGGGCTGAAAATCTCTTAAAACAAAACAAAACTTGGGGTTGTGGGATGAGTACAGAAAACTGGTGGATTTAGAAATGAATAAGTTTGGATTTGTCAGGTGGCCACTGGGGAAATAAAATGTATCAATGCATACCCTTGAGGAGACAGTTTGTCCAGCCATCCGGATTTGACCTTCGCTGCAGAAGACCCATAGAAGCAGGCATAGGGAGAGATGGCATTTGAGATGGTCGAAGAATCAGTATTCCCACTTGTGGAGCTTAAAGGATAACTGTGCCTGTTAAAAGGGTCCAGGTAGAAGGCTTTCTGAGTCCTAGACTTAGATGCCTTTGAGTTTTTTCTTCTTAAACTCTGGAAGCACTCCTCTACTGTTGAGTACTCTGACTCAGAAGCAGAGTCCTTTGGGAGGTTATTTTTATCCTCTCGGGGTATCCAAATGTCTTCTGCTTTGTCTTCACTCACTTTCTCCTTGCTGTTATTGTATATGCTAAACAGTAAAGAATGACAAATTCAACATGGTTTGGTTAATTTAAGCTGACGGTCCAACCTTTAAAACTTATAAACCAGCCAACCATGAAAGTTTCAAAAAACTTATTTAAGGACTTATCACCCAACTAAGAGAATTTGAGCTTAGGTCCACTGAGGCCATATACCTGCCAGAAATGATGCTGTGTGTCTATAATCCCAGTACTGGGGAGCTAGTGAGGGTCCCTTGAACTTGCTAGCCAGCCAGATTAGCCCATCAGAAAACACTGGGTTAGAAAAAAGAGACCCTGTCTTAAAAAGCACAAAATTAATGTGGAGAGCAATTGAGGAAAACATGTAACACTGATCTCTAGCCTCCACACTCATGAAAATCTGTGTGTGTGCGCACGCATGCACGCATGCACGCACGTACACACACACACATACACACACACACACACACCTACCCTTTTCAGAGAAAGAAAATCAATAGAAACATTCTATTATCCTGTGACAAATGTAAACACACTATAAAATGTCTCATGTATAACTTAACCAGATTCTATCCTTAGAAGAGTAAGTGAAGGTAATAATGCAGGGAAAACACAAGTTTTTCCATCAAAATTTAAACTTCACAGAGAGCACAGATATCCTACTCAATCTCTAGTCTCCAGGCAACAAAGTGAACCATGAACTCATCTATTTGAGGACATTAGTTCCTACTTATCTACCTGTCTAATCTACTTGAAGGACTCCATGTTCCACCCTCAGGTAATGCAGCAGAGAACAAGGTTTCAGCACTAGGGGACAAACACGGCACCCATCGCTAGCCAACAACCAAGCAATGGGTAGTATACATCACAAGGCAAAAGCCAAGTCAGGTATATTTACTGGAATGCACTTATAACTGCTAAGCATAATCCTTCAGATTTCACAATTGACATTGTAAGCTCAATAATTTATATGAAATAAATCTTATTATGAAGAATTTTTTTGCTAATCATCAATGAGACAGTATATAGGTCATACAGATCTTTCTGATATACTGTTCTAAATATTGTTTCTTTTTTTTACATTTTTCTTATTTTCCATATCAATCCCAGTTCCCTCTCCCTCTCATCCTCCCATTCCCCGTATTGACTCCCCCCCCCCAGTCCTATCCTCCATCCACTCCCCAGGGATCATGAGGCCTTCTAGGAGGGATTATCAAAATCTGTCAAGTCATTTGGGGAAGGGCCTAGGCCCTCCCTCTTGTCTCTAGGCTAGTGGATATCTTTCCATGGGGAATGTGATCCTCAAGTCCTGGTTCCACTGTCTGAGGTCCCTTAGACTGCCCAGGCCTAACTGAGACCCACGTTCAGAGGGTCTGAGTCAGTCCTATGCTGGTTTCCCAGCTATCAATCTGGGGTTCGTGAGCTCCCTCTTGTTCAGGTCAGCTGTCTCTGTGGGTTTCTGCAGCCTGGTCTTGACTCCTTTGCTCATCACTCCTCGCTCTCTACAACTGGATTCCAGGAGTTCAGCTCAGTGTTTAACTGTGGGTGGAGAAGTTACCTTAAATACCCTTCCCTGATAATGAGAATGAAATTGATGACTACCTTATATGCCATCCTAGAGCCTTCATCCAGTAGCTCATGGAAGCAGAAGCAGACGCCCTAAACACTGGTTCTTAACCTGCCCCTTGCCTGTTTCATATCATAAAAGATTCTGATCACTTACTGAGGGGGCACTATTTACTTTTAACTCAAGTAAATCCACAACAGTGTTAGCTTTGTGAAATTAAGGTAGAAAGTAAAAAATATGACTAATAGTCCAGCATACTAAGTCCAACTAAAACTGAGATAAGTAAAAAAAATATAAGTTTGGGTCTTTATTTTATGTGTTAACACAAAAACTGAGTCTTCGTGTACTCATCTCAAGAGTGAATTTCTAACACAAAGGACATATTGTTTTTGTATAATTCTAAGCTCATTGTGATTTTCTATCATCTCTTTTTCCTTTCTACTCACATAGAGTCCATCTTAGAGAACAATCACCTAATGTAGAATAAAGTATTATATATTTACAAGATTGTCCCATACCTACAAAGTATATAATAGGTATTTGGTGGTTACTCTGATTGCAGACACTTTAAAGTCAAACATGCATTTAATTTGTATTTTTAAGCAAATTCATTGCAGTTAAAATACTTAGATATTTTATCTCAATCAGTATAAATAAAATAGCCTATTTCAATCTGTATAAATCATTTTAACCTTACTGTGTCTTTAAGATGATTTGTATAATGTCCAACCAGATCTGAAGAAGCTAAGTTTAATAAATTTCAAATCAATTTTCTAGGGGGAGAATGTGTATACAATCACCAGATACCTCATTAGGCAAGGATGAATGGCTACAGTTAGTAGAAAACAAAAAAATAACACTCTAGGGATTGTCATCCATTTTCTAGAATTAAACCAGCCACTCCGTTTAATTATAACAGGTCATCTATTAAAATGAATACTGTCCAGAGAACATCCAGAACAGAAAGGGAAGCTCTGAACTTGACCAGATAAACTCCTTTCTTAGAACTACTGAGCAAGGCATCCCACCATAGCAAATGAGCTCCAAAGAGCCATCTCATGCACCAGGGATAGATCTTGGTCCCACTGCCAGGGCCCCACAAACAAGACCAAGCTATACAAAACCCACAGGCAGAAGGCTTAGTTCAGTCCCTTGCAGGCTTCCCAGCTGTTGGTCCAGAGTCCATGAGCTCCCACTAGCTCCGGTCTGATGTCTCTGTGGGTTTCCCTGTCTTCTACATCTTTTGTTTGTTTGCTTGCTTGCTTGCTTTGTTTTCCTTTGCTTTGCTTATCTTCTGAGACAGGGTTTCTCTGTTTAACAGCTCTGGCTATCCTGGAACTCAATAGGTAGACCTGGCTGGCTTAGAACTCATAGATATCTGCCTGCCTCTGCCTCCAATACTGGGATTAAAGCCTTTTGTTCTGTACAGACTCATCAGCAGTCACAGGCATACCTTGATTTGGCTGAGATGGAGTTCTTTGCAGTGCCTGCATCCTCTTTGTCTGTTTCTTCATGGGCCCAAAACTCATTCTTTATAGACTTCTTCTGTTAAAATAAATAAATAAATCCTAGTTCGACTCAGTGTTTAGTTATGGGTGTTTGTTTGGTCAAGGTGCATGTGAGAGGGGATAGAGGGTAAGAGGGAGGGAGGGAGAGAGGGAGAGGCAACTGGGATTGACATGTAAAATAAAAAAATAATAATAATAAAATTAAAGAAAAAGAAAACGAATAAATAAATCCATTCATTGCTTTGCATGTTGGTTGTGGTAATTATTTGTGGTACAACCAGCCACACACTACAAAGACCTAAAATATTTGAGATTTTTATTAAACAAATTTAATTTCTCAGATTTTTTTTTCAGGTGACAACAATCTAAAAGAAAACATCAAACAATCTCTGATGTCTTCAGTAATTAATTTAAATTAATTCATTATATTAACTAACAATAAGCACTCACTTTCATTCCCCTATATGATTTGTTTGGTTGTGGATTTTAGCTGTTTCTGTTTTATCTTATGGAGAGCAGCTATGAATCAGACCCAAGGCCTTGAGCATGCCAGACAAGCGCCTCCTTAACTGCTTCTGGTACGTACTTTTCTCCCATGATTCTTTTATCAAGTCTAGCACATAAAATAATAAATGGGGGCAGTACTAGTAACAAAACACGAGTCATTAGCCTGAATAAAATAAGTGAATGCAATGTTCCAGGCTTGGGAAAACTGCTTCTGTAGCTAAGGCCAAGAAAAGTCTAGGGAGTTTTTAAGCTTTATCAATGTTTAATCATTTTAATGTAGTAAAGTTACATTGTGGGAAGTCCCTCAATACACCATTCCATGCTGCTGGAATCAGTGTGAAAATGTGTCTTCACGATCCATAGCTAAAGGCATAGATTATTATAATTGACCAAGCTCAAGTTTTACTGTTGGTGAATCTCATATTAAAGCATCATTACAACTGTTTATAGGAAAATGAAAAGGCATGGATAAGATACAGAACAAATAACAGCTTATGGAACATAAAATAAAATGAATGAGACTAACCTTGGAACTTTCTAGTCTCTGGAAGAGAAATGTCTCTCCATATGGAAAGATGGAAGTTGAATTATCCTCATTTGAATCTTTTGGGGGGAATTACAGAATGACAATGGGAAAGATGAATAAGGTAAAAGAGTGCAAAAAAATAAATATAAAAGCAGTGTTTAATTATTTTATAGCAACATCACGTTCTGAAGACTACTCTAAAAGTGTCCAAAATGACATGCCCATCTCTTACTTCCCAAATCAACTCTTCCCATGATCGTAACACATATCACTTAGCAATGAGATCACTAACTCTGAAGTCAAAACAAGTTACATATATATGGTCCTACGAGCTTCCAAGATGCACACGGATATAACCAAGAACCCTTCCTATCTGCTACAGTGCCATTTAAGCAAGTTCAGGAAGTTAAGAATATTTTAAAAGGCTCTAAATTCTAATGTTCAAAAAACAAATGTAAACAGTTCAATAATATACAATCTGGGTATCACTTCAAACCTTGAACCTCACTGATATATAACCCCTCTCAGGAGCTAACATGCCTGTAGAGAAGTAATTTCAAGAAACTGTCCTGTACCTTCAAACTGCAATGATCTACAGGACAGAAGCCTCATTACTTGCATTTTTTCCAAAAGTACAGTAGCCAGTCATTTCCTTATCCATATATATATATATAGTTTGTTTCAAACACCAAATAGAAAGATCCAATAAATGATCAATTTACCAAAGCAAGGGTATCAAACTTTTTACAGAACCAAAATACTTTTCAGGCATGATTATTCAGTAGCTTGAAGCACCACAGAACTTCTCATTTAGCTGGATATCACTGACTAATGATAAATGAAGAGTGTATTTAAAATATATTTTGATGTAAGCATGGGCGAATTTCCTGGAGTCCGAGTGATCGTTTCTCCATCTCTAATAGTCACTACCTTTAAGGTCCTTAAGTGATATGGAAGTGAGAATAGCTATCCATCCGTATTAGTCCCTGTTCCACAGGCAGGCTGCTGCCAAGACACATCTCTAACTCTATCTTAAGATGATCGCCTGGGGATAAACTAATACGAGAATTGGATGCAGAGACTCACTTTTCAACGTCAAAGGTTTTCCAGATGAGGTAGTAGCACTTCTCCTGTCACGGAAATAGCTTAAAGAAAAAGGAAAAGTTATGTTATCATACCATATTGAACACAGGATGTATAAGACTTAGACTTTAAGTAGAAGCTCCAATTCTCAAATACAGATCTGACTTGAATTATATATCAAGGACATATTCCACCAATTTGTTTTGTTCTATTTTGTTTTTATTTAATAAGTACCCAGTGGAGAGGTTTCATAGGATATTACAAATCATTTAAATCCCCTCCCTGCAGTAACCAAATATTTTTAAAATGTATTTGTCCATGTTCGTACGCACTTGATTTCAAAATTGTCAGAAACAAAGTAATTGGATATATAAGAGTATTTATGTGGCTATTTTGACATTACCTTTATCGCATTTTATCAACAATATATGTTCCAATAGCTTGGTATTAAAATACTCCTTCAAATGCCTCACAGTCTGTGAGTCAGTTATGACAATGTATACAATGAGGGAATAGTATGAAAACGTCAACATTGGGGCAGACAGGGCACAAAAGAAAGCACAGAATGTCTATTGCTAGATGAAAGTTTGGTGTAAGCATGTAAACGGAAGGATCGAGGCATATTTAATTGCTGTTAGATAAATATGTGCCCAAGGAGTTAGAGGCCAAGAAATTGCAAAAGTACAGAAATCAGTGCAATAGAATACGGACAAAATTTAAAACTTAACTGTTACAAAAGGGGCCTCTGTGGGATCAACAAAATGGATGAATTTCAGTGAAAGAAAGTAGGGGAGAGAGAGAGAGAGAGAGAGAGAGAGAGAGAGAGAGAGAGAGAGAGAGAGAGATGAATATGAACAACAGCAGAAGCGAAAACAGAAGACCTTACTACAAACCCTGAGAACACCGGAGAGACAGATTAGTAAGAAAGGCTTATAGCCAAAGTACTAACAAACTGGGCATTATTCAAATGATTACATCTGCAAAGTTTAAGGAAAAAACTTAATGGTTCCATCTCTACCAAAGAAGGTTAAACTTAGTAATAATGATTCATCCACTCACAAGACTTCCAGGCCTAAATATTTCAATAGTAAATTCCAACACACAATGAAATAATGTCAATCCAAAAAATATATTGGGAAATAGATGACAAATTATTGTTCCTCAGCTTATCCTACTAACTTATCCTATAAATGGCAACTAATTAATAAGAAGCATATACGTAAGTGTTGCTCACGACATAAATGAAAACTGGTAGCAAACCAAGTCCGCAAATACATAAAAGCAATAATATAAGTAAACAAGATTTAGAGCAAAGAAATAAGTATTTATTTGGCAGCAGGAAAGAAATGTAATAATAGCAACAATATATGACTATAACAAGACACAACCATTTACAATAAAAGTTGTCAAGACTTAGAAGTCAGCCTCTTTAACTTAGGAAGGTCTTTTTATAAAGGAGGTACTAAAAGCAGTAACTAAAGACTAAGTTTCTCCCTAATAGAAGGAGATCTGCTCCTACCCTTCATGTTCACAGTAGTCCTGGGGTTTTAGCCTAAGTAACAAGATGAGCAAAATAATATTAAGTGCCTGCAGATGTGAAAGGGAAAGAAATCACCCTGTATATGTTTGGTTAGTTGCTTGCTGTTTTTTTATTTTGTTTTGTTTTGTTTTGTTTTGGACTTTTATTTTTCTCTCATATATTACATCCTGTCTTCTGAGATAAAAAAATAAATCACAAGTGATAGCTCACACTGACGAGGATGTCGAGCAAGGGAAACACTCCTCCATTGCTGGCGGGAGTGGGAGCTACTACACCCGCTGTGTGGAAATTAGTTGCTGCTTTAATGACATAGCTCAGGTCAGTCTTGAATTCACTCTGTATCCCATTCAGGTCTGCAACTGGTAGCCCTGAAGGCTCTTTGGGCCTTCTGGGTATAGGGATAATAGGTAGGTGCCAGCACAGGATCTTATCACACTGTCCAGCACAGCAAAATCTCAGAAAGAGTTAATGTTAATAACTCCGATAGTTCTACATACTAGCAATGACAACTGGCAAAAACTTTTTAAAATTCAATTCTTCTTAAAATAGTACATATGAACATGAAATACCACTAATTTTTTAAGAAAAATGAGTAAGTCCTGGACAATAAAAACTGAACAATTACCGAGGAAAAAGTAAAAACAAGAATTCTTAAATAGATATACCACATTCATAAATTGGAAGGCTCCATGTTATTAAAATGTTAATTCTCCCCATAGTGGTACATGCATGTGTGTGTGTGTGTGTGTGTGCACACGCGTGCACACGCACATGTGTGAGCATGTGTAAATTTTACAAAAGAACTCCAGGAAAAAATTACAGTGGGATTTAAAATTATATGTAACTTGCTGTATTCACCAGATATCCTGAATGTTCACAACAGACATAGCTGTCATAAAATTAGAAAACCTGGAGAATTAATATTGAAAAAATATATATGTTACTAAGATGACTTGCAAGTTTACATGTAAGTACAAATGAGCTAGAATGTTCAACATATATTCTCAAAGGACAGCAGAATTTTAAGACACATACTCTGTAATTTCAATATTTATTCTACAACTGCACTAATCAAACCAGCAAACCAATAATGAAACCCTAAACATACATCAAATGAATGAAACAAAGTCCACATACATCCCCACAGTCTATGACCCAATTATTTCTTTAAAATATATAGAAACACTTACCATCAGCTGGAAAGTAAGAGAAGCCATGAAGTTTTTAGGTAAATGGATGGAAATAGAAAACATTACACTGAGCAAGGTAACCCAGACCCAAAAAAACAAACATTGCATGTCCTCTCTGAGGTTCCTAGCTCCAAATATCCAGATGTAAGTATGCCATGCTGAAGAACTCAGCAAAGCAAAAGGGGGCATTGTAGTGGGACCTATAAAATGGGGAACAGTAAGGTACAAGGTATCTGAGGGGAATATGAGGAAAATGGGAGGGCTCTACATTGGGACAGGGAGATAAATACAGAAGAAGGAGGGTGGAGGGTAAAGACAACAAACAGTAAAGATGTCTGAAAAGTCATAAGGAATCATACTATTAGCTATCTACCTACAAATACCTATAAAACACATAATAGTTTCCCCCAAGAGCCACAGACTTAACAGAAATCCCTTCACCCAAGCATGAGAAGTCCTCCTTTAAGTTGTTGGTCGTGGTTGTCCTGAAACATTGCAGGTTATTCTTATTACTCTTGGTTGTCTTTCATAGGTGGAATATACATCCCTACTGAGGAAGACACCATGTACTTCAGATACATGGCTCAGAGGGTCTTGCTGGATCTGACCTGAGAGCCTCCTCTCTGAGTACCAGAAGGTACCAGAAGGTGTAGCCATGCAAGTATTCAAACAAAGGAAACAACCTACCAGCTATGTCCCCCATGGACCACACCAAAGACTAACATGGCAAGATAACTCTGAGGATTCAGTATGGGTATGCATACCTCAGCGCAGCACTAACCAACAACTCTCTAACTGGACTTAAGACAAGAGGGAAATTTTGTATCATACTGGCACCCTAAGCAACTACCCAGGACAAGTGAGGAACCACTGTGGAAGAGAGGGTATAAACTGTGGTGATATATTGTTAATGATCTAATACAATCACCAAAGATCAGAATGCAGAGCCAGCAAAACTAAGTCAGGCACAGAGCTGGGCAGAGGTAGCACACATCTTTAATCCTAGGACTCGTAAGACAGAGGCAGATGGATCTCTGTGCATTCAAGGCCACCCAGCGCTACATGAGAATGAATCAGTCTGAAAGAGAAACAGAGCTCATGCCTTTAATCTCAGCACTTGAGGGGTATATAAGAAGGAGCACAGGGTTTTGTCTGGGATTCGGTATTCAGTCTCCAGCCACATTGAGGATAGGAATTCCCTAGCGTGGTAGAGGTAAGTGGCTTGGCTGCTTTGCTTTTCCGATTTGCAGCTTGAACCCCAATATCTGTCTCTAGGTTTTTATTATTTGTGCTACAACAAATACTGTAAGAGTCAGAGGAACCGCAAGTTTCCTATGAGATCGCATCTCCTACAAATGTCAGAAAAGCTACACTTGTGAAATCTCTAGACCATGTCTGCCTAAAGATGGCCTGAACAAGGAGGCCTGAGCAATAAGCATGCTAATAAACCAAGACAAAGGACTGCAGGCAACCAAACAATATTGACAACAGGAGAAAGTCTTATTCAGGAAAAAGCATACCAACTGGCCATTCTTGAAAATACACACACGCACACACACGCACACACACGCACACACATAAGCACACACACGCGTACACACATGCGCACACACACACACACAGGCACACACACGCACCCACACACTGGCACACACACGCACACACACGCACACACACGCACACACAAGCATACACACAGGCACACACACGTGCACACACACACGCATCCACACACACAGGCACACACATGTATCCACACACATGCGCATACACACGCACACACACACACACGGGCACACACACGCACACACACAGTCATGCGCACACGCACACACACACACACACACACACAGAATAATGAGATGGCTCAATGGTTAAAGCACCTACTTTTAGGGGTTCAGAGTTCACAGTCAGATGGTTCACAACTACTTCTACTCCTAACTCCTGATATCCAACATACTCTTCTGGTCTCTGAGGACACGGAAAATCACAAGCAACACACATACATGCACACACACACACGCACACGCACACACACACAAGCATGCACATGCACACACGTGCATACACACACTTAAATGTAAAGTGTCTTTTATAAAAGGAAGCAGAAGGGAGAGCTAGAGAGGAAGGTTACCTGTTGGAAGCAGGGAGAGAACAAAGGGCATGGCTTTACGGGGAGGGAAAGAACAAAGAATGATATACATGAAGATATCATGAGGAAACTGGTTTTTATGCAAAAAAAAATTATTTAGAAACAATTAAAACCCTACATTAAAAAAAAAATAACAAAGTGACTTTTCCTTGAAGCATGAGAATGTCTTATCCGAAGCTC